CTCTCTTTCTTCCCTGTGCTCTGGCACCTTCTTTCTTCCCCCTGTCCCTTGTCTTCAGAGGCATCAGGAATCCTGAAGGTCCGAGCTTTAAAGGATTTTTGGAACCTCCATGACCCAACTGCTCTCAATGTCCGGGCAGGAGATGTCATCACGGTGAGGCTGCTTCCCACTCCCCATCCCCTTGCCCCACCATGGCTCCAGGTACCAACCCTGTCCCTCTTGTTCCCATGGCAGGTCCTGGAGCAGCATCCAGACGGGCGATGGAAGGGGCACATCCACGATGCTCAAAAAGGCACCGATCGGGTCGGGTACTTCCCTCCCTCCATCGCTGAAGTCATCAGCAAGCGAACAGGTCAGTGGCCATCCTGGGCATGCTGGGGACAATCCCTGTGTGAAACCATCCCAGCCTTCCCAGCATCTCCTGTAGGACAGGTCCCCACAGCCCTGGCAGGCTAGGGGGGAAGAGAAGGACTTGGGTGGGTGCAGGGGGTTGTGCCATCGGTGGTGGGGTGGTAATTTGGGGGTTGAGGCTCAGATATCCCCCTGCGCTGCCTCCTGCACGAGCTCTGACCATGCGTGTTTTGTCTTTGAATGCAGGCATGGTTGTCCCCCGCGTGGCACCCGCGCACCAGCGCCAGGGTCCCCCCGGGGCTCTCCCGGCCCCCCCCGGTGGGCTGCAGCACCTCCCCGACGAGTGTCCTCACCACGCAGCCCCGAGCGGCCCAGCGGCCTATGGCCACCTCACCCTAACTCGGACGGCCCTGGGCCCTGACAGCTCAGGTCAGGGGTGCAGCTGGGGAGGGAGAGTGGCTGGGGGCCTTCCCCCATTCCCAGCCCTGCCTGCACAGGGGGGCACGGGGGCCACTTCCCAGCGGGGAAACAACCAGATGAGAGGGAGCAGGCACAGGGAAAGGGAGTTTAGGGGAGCCCATAGAGCAGCCCCTTCTCTTCCTGTGTCCTCAGCCACACTGTGTCCCCTTCATGTGTCCCTTGCCAGCCCAGGTCGCCCTGTCTGTGTCATGCATGCTGGGAGGCAGGAGGGATCTCCTGGGAGTCTGGTTTTTACTGGCATTCACTGTGTTGGCACACGGGTCCCTGCTGGGGACCTCTGTGCCCTGTGTCAGCCCCGATCCCTGGGCCCTGCTGACGGCCTCCCCCTCTGCCCCGAGCAGCAGGAGACAGGAACAGCGTGGGCAGTGAGGGCAGCATCGGCAGCATCCGCAGTGCCGGCAGCGGCCAGAGCACCGACGGCACCAACGGGCAGAGCACCAGCATCCTCATTGAGAATGCCAGGGTAGGCACCAGCCCTCATTCTCCCTATGCTGCTCGCCCAGGCATGCCCTGGTCTGGCTTGGGCTGGAGATGGAGCCCCAGGACCTTGCCTGTCACCCCTGCACATCCTAGTGAAGGAGAGGCTGCAGGAGCTGAGCATCCTTCACCATACAAGGAT